CACACACACACACACACACGCACGCACGCACGCACGCACGCACGCACACACACACACACACACACACACACACACACGGTGTTCTGGTTAGCGTGGATTACAACTCTCCATGCTTGTGCTTTGACCCTGAGGCTGGCATGCTTTACCTGTACCCCAGCTCAGCAGCATTTGTCTTGTCTTAATGGGTTGCCTTGCATAATGGCACCACCCAGAGAGGCCTTCTGTGCTCAGGAAGAGAGCCAGTGTCTTCCTCTTTTCTTCCCTTTTGAATTTGAATTTGAATTGCCCCAGAAACCCGACCTCCACAGGTAGCTTTTCTGTGGCTTTTCTTTCATCTCAGCAAGTCCTGGTCCAGTCTCCTAAGGCTCCTTAGCTGGCAGCATCAGCTGCACATACCAGGATTTAATAATGTGAAGTGATGCCGTGAGTTCCAGCAGGAAATATGGGCAAGGACTCCTGGGTGGCAGGGGAGCAGACTCCCCCACAGGACACCCCTGTGGCCAGGGCCTCTGCTTTGACAGACATCAGCTTTACCTTCCTGGAGTAGGGCCAACATCAACACTGGCGTCTGTGATATTTGCATGAGGGAAGGGCAGGGCCAGCCGCCGCCTGCCCGGTGTGTACACTACTTTGCTCAGCTTTGGACGATGCAGCCTCAACAGATGTTCTCCAGCCACTGGGATTCCTCACTGACCCATTGTGCTGCAGATTGACAGTAGTGCAATAAGAAGCAGAAAAGCAGGAAAGCGGTGCCAGAGGAATTGCAGGCATTTAGATGCTAACAGACAAGTTCCAGATGTTAGCAAAGACCCCTATAGCATCCCTTCTGTTGCTGTGGATATCGCTCTGTATAAATAAAATAGTGATTGGCCCATAGCCAGGCAGGAAGTATAGGTGGGACAAGCAGAGAATTCTGGGAACAGGAAGGCTGAGTCAGGAGACACTGCCAGCCACCACCATGACAAGCAACATGTGAAGATGTCAGTGAGCCACGAGCCATGTGGCAAGGTATAGATTAATAGAAATGGGTTAATTTAAGATAGAAGAACTAGATAGCAAGAAGCCTGCCACAGCCAGTTTAAATAATATAAGCATCTGTGTGTTTATTTTATAAGTGGTCTGCGGCACTGCCGGGGATTGGCGGGAGCTGGAGAGAAACATTCCAGCTACGCTCTGTGCTTCAGGGAAGCGCTTGAGTCAGCTGTGGGATTCAGACAGATGAGAAAGCCAGCCCATCAATGCATGGGTTAGCATCTCTTCTCCCTAGAAGCTGTCCCAGCAGCTCAGTCCTGAGCCTCTGATGGTCCTTTCAGGTTGTCTCTGTGTTTGAAAAAGAGGACAAGCTACTTCGTCAACTATAGAAAAGTTTGATCCAGTTCTAGTATTGTGGTGGAAAGAACAAGGGTCTGGGGACCACAGGGGTCTTTCAGGTGTTTATTAACACACATGTTCCTTACTAGGACCTTACTCATCAGAATGTAATAAAGAAATTTGTAAGACATGCAAGGCTTAGTGGCTCACGCCTGTAATTCCAACACTCTGGAGGCAGAGGCAGGACAATCAGGAGTTCAAGACAATCCTTGGCTACAAAGAAAGTTTGAGATCATCTTGGTATATGAGACCCCCATCTTAAAAAGGAAAAGAAATTAGTAAGACATGATCTCTTCATTTGAAAAATATAACAGAGGACAAGATCAGCAAACATGTTCTGTAAAGGAGCAGATAATTATTTTCAACTTTGCAGGATATTTCAGGCCTGGGGGGGTTGTTTGTTTTAATGTTTTATTTTGTTTGTCCCTACTTGATTCTACCTCTAGTGCAGAAACAATCATACATAAGTAGAAAACAAATAGCATGACTATGTTCTAATAAAACTTTATTTATAAAACAAATCGTGGGCCAAATTTAGCCCAGGGGGCTGTAGTCTACAAACCTCTGTCTAGAAGATGAGAGATGAGAGCTTCAGTCCCATGTGGATCTGTGGATAGTTATGTGGAAATGATAGGCAGGCGTAGTCTATAGTGTCCATTCAGTTAGTATTAACAGATTCCATGCATAACAGTATGTTGTATTACCTTCCACTTACACGAACTTGTGTGGAATGACACTCATCTACAAAACAACCTCCAAGAGCTAGGCCACTCTTAGCCTCTGTTTCCATACCTAGAGAATGAGGCCTTGTACCTTGACACCCAAGAGCAGGACTCACATTGAAAGAGTGACCTCTATACTAGAATCTCTCCCAGCTGAAGCATCCAGTGCCTGTATGTGAGTGTATGTGATAGGACACCAACTCTGATTGATGCTCCAACTGCTCAGATCCCTTGAAGACCATAAAGTCTATGTATATCCATGTCCTAAGCAGTACTCCTAGGCTACCCCACCCATGATGAAGCTTGGGAAACTGAGGCTCAAAAACATGACTGGGCTTGCACAAGGCAAAAGGTAGAAGAAGGGCCTTCAGGCCATTAGTGGGGGCCACAAAGCCACAGCCTGGTGTTAGGAAGGTGGGGCTGCGTCAGGCTGACGCAGCTGAGTGAGTGATCATCATTTCACAGTAACCACCCGCTTCCTTTCCTCTTCCCACAGTTCCTCGGGGTCACAGAGCTCTCAGCATACTGTGAAGGCTACTTTCTTAAAAATATGATGGTCCTCATCGAAAATGAAGCATTCAAGCAGCTCCTGTACGACAAAAATGGCGAAGGCTCTGGCCAGGATGTGCTTCAGGACTTACAGAGGACGTTGGCCATTAGGATTCAGTCCATCCACCTGTCGTCCTCCAAGGGTTCCGTGGTATGAAACGCCTCCATGTGGCAAAGGCTTCCCAGAAGCAAGATTTCTGGTTCCCTCCTGCATTGGCTCCACAAATAAAAACCACACGACACAAATTGTCCCTGGCGTCTATTTCTGCTGGGCCAAGGAGCTGCCTCCACTGCCTCAGCCGCTGTCCAGTCAGCCATCTTGGCTTCTGTGTGCTCCTGAGTGAAGACCCTTCCGTGAGTCTGCAGGTTAGATTGTAGCCGGGTCCAGAACCTGCAGGCCAACTCGAAGCAGCCAAGCCACCTCCAATGAAAAGTGCCCAGGAGCCATGGACACCCACTGCCGAGGACCACGGTCTAACAGATGGACCAAGGCTTAAAGGTCCCTCTGCTTCTTGGTTGACTGCTGAAAAACTCAACGGTACAACCTTGAAAAGCATCACGTGGCACACGAATGACTTTGGAGGCTAGCCTTGCTCAAGCATCAGCCTTGGTGGCTAGCTGTTGATGCTGTCGCTCAGCATGAGGAAATCACATGGCCAATTTTTAGGGGTGGGAACTTTTTAAAAATGTTCATGTATAGCAAACAGAGCAGTCTCGTAGTTTCAAATATATTTCTAAGAGCTTAAGTGTTCATTTTCAACAAAATTGTGTTCAGGGAATCTGTGTTTGGGGTTCTTTTCTTCTCTTTTTAGACAGTAAATTGCAGGTTCATGCCGTGTAAACTTGCATCTGACAAATTCCTGCTGATACTCTACAAGGTCACATATTCCTGCCTTAGTGATTCGATCATGGTTAAACAGAAGAGGTGCACTGCCAAATATCTCTGTCTCGAATCCAATAGTTGACAATAACCTGCATGCTGATTGTGGTTTTAGGGTGAGACTAGGATACCCCCACATAACAAACATGCACTTGCATGTCCCAGACCTGTAAAACATCATGTTGTGATTTGTTTTCTTTTGCCAAAGTAAATACGTTCCCTTGCTTCTTGCTAAAAGCCCATTTGGTGAAACAAACCTATTTGTTTCTTTTCCTGATTATGAATGGCTCTGGGGATGCTTTTACAGGAATATGTTCATTTCTGATACTGAATAGGGGTTGGGGAAGCACGTCAGAGAATTTACTATTAATCTCAGAGCTTTATCTGTATTCTCAGAAGATGTTCATAGTTTGTTACTAGCCAGAGAGTATGACTATGTTAGATTATTTTTAAAGATGAAAAATATATGATAGATAGGCTTGACACTTCCTGCATTCCGAGAGTGTACAGTCTACAATTATCTATGAGGAAAGTTTATATTGGCAGGGTTATGTTTACTCTGCCATATAATATATATACATATATATGTGTGTGAGTATATATATGCATATATATTGCATATATATATATATATGCAAACCAGATTGGTAAAGTGCCACAATACTCCAAATAATTCTTGAGTTGCGGCCTTTTTGCTTCTTGTTCTTTATTTTGAATCCTAGACACATTACGGTAAAAGCTGGGAGGGTGACTTTTATCTCTTGGGATGGCAAAGTTTTGTTGATAAACCCTTTTCCTAGCATGCTTTTGGGAAGTTGCGCCAAACCCTAGAGTCTAAAGGAACTTGGAACTTCCGCCTGTTGTCCGACACCGTCAGCTCCTGTCAAGGACCCATGTCCAGTCTTGTTTCACGGGTGTGGTGTGCAAGGTACCCAGTTTGAGCCTGTCCTCAGCATCACCCCTTTGTGACACAAGTCCCTGAGGCCTCTCTTCCATGTAGTCATCTGGGAGCCTACCCAGCCCTGCCATCAAGTGAGGAAGGGAACAACTGTTGACGTGACAACCAGGTCACACACAGGGGGGCACACTGGCGCTTGTCTTCAGGGATGCTGCTCTCCAACCCAGCTGACTTCTCTGTGAATGTCCTCTGTGAATGACCTCCAGGTGTTTATCTGTACATTGGTAACTCCCACCCAGGCTTCTGTTACGATTTGGTGTGCTTTCTCTGTCATTAAAAGAAATTATTTCCCACGGTTTGCATCCTCTGTGTAGTACACAGGAACGCTTCCTCCCTTAGCTCAAGCCTGGGGTCTTCCCTCAGCTAAGAGATTGGAATGTGGCTCTGCAGAAAATGTGGAGGATAGGGATGGGCAGCATAGAGGACAGGGTGCGTGTTGATGGCAGCAGGAGGGGCTGGAAGGGTCTGTACACACCACTGAGTCATTCCCCAGGCTTCCTTTCCATCAGACAAAGGAGCCATAGGTACATCCACCCAGGCCACTGCAGTGGTACCTCTCGTCTACTGTGGAGACCTTGCCTGTGGGAGCCAAGTTCTGGGTGTTCTCGGTAGGCTGCAATGACACTTTGGGAGACAGAGGATTTAAAAAGGACATCTCTTCTTGGGTGCCATTATCACTGACGTCAAACCAGGTCCCCGGTTGGTAGGTTCTGCTGCCCAGCCTGGCCCAAGCCAGGCCCCTGTGGAGTTGTGTCCATCATTAACCCACAGAGCTACACTGTATGCTGTGACAAATCACCTGACAGGAAGGAGTCAAGAGAGGGAAGGTTTACCCTGGCTCACAGTTGGAAGGGATCATCCCATCACGAGGGGAAAGCTTGGCAACAGGAAGCCGCCCATCACATCACATCTACAGTCTGGAAGCAGAGAGCCTGTTAACAGGAAGCAGAACCAGGCTGTAAAACCTCAAGGCCCATTCACCCAGTGTGGCTCCACATCTTACGGGTTCAACCTTCCCAAACTATACCAGCCTGAGACCACGTGTTCACATATGAGCACGTGGAGGACATTTGACATTCTCCGTAGCAGGAGAGGGCAGCCAGCTTCGGAAGGTCCTTTGGCACAGCCCGGGAAAGAGCCAGCCTCCCCTTCCCGTGATGGTGGCTCACTCTGCTCAGCAGTCCGGGGAGAGGGGACACATCCCAGCCAGGACAGGAGGCCCACCGTTTCTGATCTGCTTCCCCCTCTGCACAGCCTTGGGTGAAGAGCTCTTCAAGTCGTTCCTTTTAGCAAATTAAAGTGAGTTTTAAAGACACCACCATCTTTGTGTGACAAGTGGCTTTGCCACTGGTTGAAGCCCGTACAGGGGCCCTCAGCATCTGAGGGACAGGACAGGTGGCCCCTCCACTCCTCCTGCAAGATTAACACAGGGGCCCCAATGTTGGCTTCTGGGCCCAACCCCAAGGTCTTAGACGTGCTATCCCTGAATACCACTCATCTTTCCCGAAGCAGAAGCCTCACCCCACTGGGAAACCAGGTGTGGGCACCCACCACTCGCCAAAATGGGAAACACACAAGGGCAGAACTGGATAGAAATCCCTGGGATTCCGTAATGCAGTTTGCTCCTCTTTCTGACTCTTTGTGGGTAGCACATTGATTTTTCATGTAAAGCCCCAGGCAAAAATATTACTCCAGCTAGGGTGGAGAGTCCCATGAGGAGGACCTGTTATGGCATTCAGGACTTACCCTGGGATGTGTGCACAAAGCGTCTAAGGGAAGAACTCCTGACAGCCTAGGATTTGCGTTCAGAACCCAGGACACCTTGAGTCACCCACGAAGGTTGCAGGACTGGTGCCTCCTCCCTCCATCTCTCCTGCCCTTTCTGTCCCTGTCCGACAGAGACGCTGCAGGGCTGACAGCCCCACTCCCAGGTCCCTCTCAGGAGCACACACTGAGAGCCTCCTCTTTCCAAGCTGGTTCTGCCCTGGCTCACTGAAACTGGACAACTTATCAACATTGTCCTCTGTGGAAAACTTGGGCTTAGGGGATGCAGCTCAGTTGGTCGAGTGCTTGCCTAAGATGCACAAAGCCCAGAGTTCAAATCCCAGCCACCACATAAACCAGGTGTACTACTACACACCTCTAATCCTAGCACTAGGGAAGGTGGAAGCAGGAGGATCAGGAATTCAACGTCACCCTCGGCTACCTGTAAGTGAGGCCAACCTGGGCTGCGGGAGCCATGGACTTGGAAGGAAGGTAAAAGAAAGAAAGTGGGAAAGACAGAAATGTTAAGTTTCACTATAATTAGTAGATGATGCTAGAAAGATGACGGGGTGTGCCCTGTGTGTCCCTCACTGCTAACAGCAGAGAGAAGGCATTCCTAAGCTCCTAAGACTAAGCAGAGGGAGGAAGGAATCGACAATTTGTACAAGAAAAAGAACATTCAATGCCTTTGCCCTTTATTTCTAGAACTTTCTACAAAAGCAATTCCCATGATGCCTTGCAGTTTTCCAGGATTTTCTTGCTCACTCTAATGGATGTGCGGAATCTCCCCCAAAACTGAGTATCTTGTTTATAATTCTTGTTCCCAGCATATTGCTTCACATGATCAGTGATCAATAAATGGTTAGGTCAACATAAGCAAGTTCATTTTCTTCCCTGTAAATATGAAACTTTCTGAATATTAATTAATTCTTCCAAATTCACTCAAAGAGGTAAGGATTACATTCATGACTCCCATAGTGTTTGCCTCATGTTCCAGGCTCCACAAAAAACTAAAAAGAGCCCTGACCCACCAGGGTCACCTGTCACTCAGGATTGGGAAGCTCCTCAAGTGAATCCCGATAGAAATCAGACCCAGAAAAACGTGGGACCACCGTCCCCATGGAACCAGCCCCAGCCCTGTATGTCCTTCGCTGCCTTTCGCGTGGCCCTCACCCCTCCACTGAGAAACGGCTTAGCCTCTCCACCACCCTGTTTCTCCCCACTCAGCTGAGGCCCAGCAGTACGTGTTTTTGGACTGGGCCTCTGAGGAAGTTATTATGATTCCTCCCCCCCCCCCCTTTTTTTCCACCCTCTTTAAAAATAACACAGTAGATTTTGAACTTCCTGCTTAGGAGGAAAAAAATAGAACCTATACTCAGCAATCAAATTGCACGTTAGTTCCCATTCCTGATGAGGCGTCAGATAACGAGTGCCCTGAAGAAGGACACATCTCCAAGTTTAGATCCGAATAAGAAAAGACAATCTGTCTGCGTGAATAGGCAATTAAAGAAGATGCCCTGATGTTGATCTGCTCCTCTGGCTCTTGCTTTTCAGAGTTAACCTTCCATGAGTTCCGAATTTTAATGTCTTAAACCTCCAGGGTGAATGGAGAGCAGAAAGGAGGGGAGGGCGGTGGACGTGACAGGCGGGCTCACCCTTGGCCCTGCCTCTGCCACCAGCTGCTGGAGACTTGGTCAGGCCTCTTCTATACCCCGGAGTTGCTTTCTCAGCTCTGAAACAAGGATCTGCTGAGCTGATGCTCTGTGAGTCTAGACTCTCCCCTTAATGCATTTATGTATTTCAAGCCCTGGTAGCACCCTTCAGAGTGATAGAACATTCTGGAATGCATCAGTAACATGATGTCTTTGTCAAACAGGCTCCCAGCAGGAAGCCAAACACAAGCCTCAGAACAAGGTCCCGAGATGTTCAATTCTGAAGACTGCTCTCACTAGATCAGTCGCACTGTGACCATCTTGTTTTCAACTGGCTGGTTCCCTTCATGCTTCATTTATAGATTTGTAAGAAATGGCAAAAAGGTCCTGTGTCCTTCCCCACAGCTTCCTCCAGTGGTGGAAGTTAGGTATGTCTGCTTTACAAAACCAGGAAGTTGGCATTGGTATAGTGTGTGTTTAGTTCTGTGGCATCATATGTAGATTCACGTAGACGCCACCACAGTCACCACGCCACTGCCACGAAGATCTGCCTCCTGCTGCCCTCCCAGTGTTAAAAGCAAACGTCCTCGGTGGCACACAAAGAAGCACACAAGCCAAGGCAAGCAGCTAAGCCAGGCAATGTCTTTGAGAAAAGGGTGCTCCCAAGACCGAATCGGGCCAGCAAGCACACCGGCATGAGAGGCTTACTCGGTTTTCATTCTAAAGCAGGTGGAGATTTTGTCTCTTCCCTACAGTCATTCCGTGTGGCTAGTGTTAAAGGAATTGGCACAAAAGAGATGAAGGGAAGCAGAAAGAGGTCAGCTGCTCCAGGCCATCAACTTCCGGGGGATGCTTCAGGGCCTTTGCACACACCAAGATTCATGGGATAGTGACTCTTGGCCGGCTTAACTATCTTTGATAGAAAAAAATTATTTTCCTCACATCAACCAGCCCCACATACCTCCAGGCACTTCATTCCCAATCCTTGGCAAGCACACACCTGACCAAGATTTCTATATCTCCATTATTTCAAGAATGTTATATAAACAGTCATACAGTAAGTACCAAGTGTGTGCTCCTCCCCCCTCCTCCCCCTCCTCCTCCTCTCCCTCCTTCTTCTCTTCCTTCTCCTCCTCCTCCCCCTCCTCCTCCTCTCCCTCCTTCTTCTCTCCCTTCTCCTCCTCCTCTCTCTCCTCCTCCCTCCTTCTTCTCTTCCTTCTCCTCCTCTCCTTCCTCCTCCTCTCCTCCTTCTTCTCTCCCTTCTCCTCCTCCTCTCTCTCCTCCTCCCTCCTTCTTCTCTTCCTTCTCCTCCTCCTCTCTCTCCTCCTCCTCTCCCTCCTTCTCTTCCTTCTCCTCCTCCTCTCCCTCCTTCTTCTCTTCCTTCTCCTCCTCTCCTTTTCTTCCTTCTCCTCTCCTTCCTCCTCCTCTCCCTCCTTCTTCTCTTCCTTCTCCTCCTCCTCTCCCTCCTCCTCCTCTCCCTCCTTCTCCTCTTCCTTCTCCTCCTCCTCTCCCTCCTCCTCCTCTCCCTCCTTCTCCTCTTCCTCCCCCTTCTCCCTCCCCCCTCTCCTATTCTTTCTTTGGGGCCCAGACTTGAACCCAGGGCCTCATTCATATTATGGAGGGGATCCTCCACAGTGCCACAGCCTCAGCCTCATTTTCTGTATTAAATGTTCTTATTCTGAGACAAGGCCTCACTAAGTAGCTCAGGCTGGGTTTGAGTTTGGGATCCTCCTCCCTCAGCCTCGTGAGTAGCTGAGGTGATAGGACTCATAGCATAGCTACTTTGTTCCTTTGTATTGTTAAATAATTCTCTCTCCATCCCTGGCTCATTCATTCACATGTGCTGCTGGAGAGCAAACGCAGGGCCTCCCTCCGCC